ATATGGTTTAGTTACAGTCAGAAGAGTCCATCATGAATTATTTCAGGTTTTAATAAACTAGTTTAGATTTTGAAGCTCTGTCTCATATACTTTGGGCACGTGGCCAGGAGGGACCAGTCCTTGGAGAAGGATATCATGCTAGAAGGGTGGAGGGACAGCACAGGAAAGGAAGACCCAGGATGAAATGAATTGATGTAGTGAGTGGGGAAATCAGATTAGGTCTGTGAGAGACAAAGAACCTGGCTCAGGATAGGCAAGGTTCACAGCTAATGTACACAGGGTTGCAGCCAGTCGCTGGTGACTCTAGCACTTAACAACAATGGCAACAGTAGTTGTAAAATTTTGTTTTGTCTGAACAGTTTATTTCCAAGCCTGTATATTTCAAATTTTATGTTCAGAAGGAAAGAAATGTCTTTGCTATTTGAAAACCTCAGCCATTATATTTATAGGAATTCACTTAAAATTGATTCTTCAATAGGGAGAACCATTCTGGAGCATGTTATACAGGGGTTATACTTTTTTACAAGATTTAGGGGAAAGGCAAAAAAGATGTATCTCGTCCCAGTTATCTTCCACACTCCCCCCGTTCTGAGCCTGTGAATCCTAACGGGGGAGTGTGGAGGATGACTGGGACGAGTCTGCTGGCTTGAGCCGCCGAGCTTCCCATTAGCAGCCAGCGCTTCTCCTGACACACCACCAAGACTCCTGCAGTATTTTTAGAATGCTGATTTCTTCAGTGAAGAAACAGTAAACATCCCAGCTTATGTTTTGTTGAGTCTGACTTCTTTGACTTGATAGCAATATGTTCAAATGAATTTCTCACCTAGATTCGAATCCTGGTTCTGCCACTTACTGTGTGACTTTGGCCTCGCTTCTCTTTAGTTTCCCTCTATGAAGATAATGGTGCTTTTCCTCATATTGTTAAAATTATTTAAATAACAGAGTTTCTACTTTTTAACTTATATGCTTGCAGTGCTGCTAAGTATTGGGTGACATCATAAATGAAGGATAAATGAAGGTCAGAATTGACTCAGTGGCAGTGGTTTTCTTCTCAGACCAAACCCCCCTGATGTGTAGTGGTTAAAGTGCTCAGGTGCTAGCAGTTCAAACCCAGCGGCTGCACTTGGGAGAATGGTGAGGCAGTCTGCTTCCATCCAGATGACGACAGTTCTCCTCTATCTCAGCTTGATCTCACTGGGCTTGTAAATCTGGGAATGATGCCTTCAGTTAGCACTTAGTCTTCTTTAATATTCTATTAAAATTTAAGCTAAAAGTGCAAACGCCAGCGCTCTTGAAAAGAACAAAATCATGGGCTCACTCTGCAGCCTCTTCAAGAGACCTTCTACCTCTGAAAACAGAGAATCATAGCTGAATAGAACTTTTCATTAAATGGATATAGAAAAGGGCTTTGTACTTTCAACTGTATAAGACAGAGCTTTAGTCTTCCTATAACAGCCCATTTGTTGAAATCACAAATATTAATTGTTGCTTCCTTTCACAGCAGATACTTCCCTCCCCCACCTGTCCAGCACAGAGCCCGTTTCTGGTATTGTACACATTTGATGGTGATACTTGGCTGTGTTAGACCTCTGTAAGGCATATGCCATGGGCTTCGGCAGATGTGTGTGTGTCTCTCTCTCTGTGTCCTCATTCTGATACAGATTTATTCAGAGGCTCAAAAGCTTGAACCTCAGTCGCTGCTTCAGTTATTTCTACCAGCAGCTTTATGCATGATTTCCAAACCTTTTCTTTTTTTCTTTTTTCTTGTAAGATTCATTTTATTTTTTAATTGAAATTTTAATGAAAGTTTATAAAGGGCTTAGGTTTCCAATCATTCATTGTTATACATTGTCCTCCCTGCCCCTCCCCCCTTTTCCTTTTTTCCCCATGATTCACTTCTACAGAATCTCTTTTCCAGGTCTACAGACCCTGGTGGCACAACAGTTAAGCATTGACTGCTAACCAGGAAGTCCGTGTTTTGTATCCCTCAGTCTCTGTATGGCAGAGCAGAGAGATGGCTGCTCTAGCGCTGAGCTCCAGCCATCGACAGAACCTTAGGGACAGTTCTGCGCTGACCGGTCAGCTTGCTGTCCATCAGAACGAGCGGAGGCAGTGGGACTCACTGAGGAAGAGCAGAGCTAGTTCCTCAGACGACCCTCCTTCAGTTGTTGAGTCCCATTGAGTTGCAGCCCACCCATTGCTGAGCTCTCAGCACGTTTTCAGAAGCTGTGAATGGCATGCAAGGATCTTGTGCATCTTTGTCCCATTGAGCAGCTGGTAGATTTGAACCACTGACCTTTTGGTTGGCAGCATAATTTCTTAACATAAAGCCACCAAAGCTTTCTACCTCAGGTAGCCATATTAATAAACAAAGTAACAATTCTTCAGTAAGACGATGGCCCAGTGAGATGATATCAGAGTTGATTTGGATAGATCTTCAAGTGGTATCTAGTAGAGTCTATGGTCTGTAGTAACATTGATGTTGGCTAGAATTATGAGGCTTAGGCCAGCTGAGTTCTAGAGTTCTTCCAAGGGATGCATTGAGTGACTCAATTTGATCATTTACAGTGGGATGTAATGTTGTTGTGTACCGTAGATTCGGAACTGACCCATAGCAGACCCTCCAGCAGGTTGCGATCCTGAAGGCGCGTGGTTCAGATCCAGCAGATACTCCACTGGAGAGCAAGGGGCAATCTTCTCCTGTGCCAGTCGTATTCGATAACGGTACACAACAAGAAAAAAAAGGGAAAAGGAGTCCTCAGTAGCTCATCATGACTCAGAACAAAGGCCCAGCTGCTTAGCTTTGCACATAAAGCTTTCTAGGACATGGGCTTGCTGGGATGGAATGAGATTGGTAATAGCTACTGGTTAACTGAGTGCTCCTTGTACTCCTGGTATTATACCCGAGTGCTTTATACCCCAATTAGCATTTCATTGCTACCTTAGTAGAAAAACCTAGTAGATGAACTCAGTCCCATTTTGAAGGTGGAATAGCTGAGGTCTGGAGGAGTGGCTTGATTGAAGCCAGCTAGAGGGTGAGACCAGGCTGTTCCTTGGAGGCAAGGATTCTGAAGCTTCATCTGACATACTTTGGACATGTTGCAAGGAGGGACCAGTCCTTGAAGAGGGACGTCATGCTTGGGAGGGTGGAGGGACAGCACAGGAGAGGAAGACCCTCAATGGGATGCATTGATTCAGTGACTGGGGTAATGGGGTAGGTCTGTCATAATGGGGTAGCTGTGTCAGAGACAATAAGATTGGGTCAGAATAGAGCAGGGTTTAGGGCTATTGTACATAGGGTTGCTATGAGTTGCAGGCGACTTCATGACACGTAACAACAAATGAGTTCTGCAGGTAGAAATCTGACTTCAGAGCTCAATTCAGACTTGCTGTCCTGTTCTCCTAGTCAGCCAGCAGTGGGAGGGAGGAGGAGTTGAGGCTTTTCTTTTGTAGAGTTTAAACTGACCTTTGACTAAGGAGGAGAAATACATACCTCAGTAAAAGGTCAGAATTTGCAGCATAATAAGAAACTGGTTGCTTATAAAGTTGAATTTTGGAGATATTAAAATTTAGGACAATTTAAAAAATAATCTTTCATTTGACAAGTCTTTGAAAATGTTTGTAGGTGAGATTTGATTGCACATAGGATTTGCTTGCAGACAGCTCTGTGGGTGTGGCTCCTGGTCCCTTCCCTCCCTCCCTCTTTCTTCCTTCCCTCCCTCCCTCCCTCCCTCTCTCCT